TCATGCCCTGGTGCCCCAGCCCATAGAGCAGGGAGCCGCAGTGGTCACAGAAGGTCGGGCTGCTGTAGCTGTGAATCTTGAACTTGTGCTTGTTCCGAGGGTCCTGGGGGGGAGATAGTGGACAGATCAGGCCCCCCCAGGCGCAGGTAGGGGCGCGCACTCAGGGTGTGTGTGAGCACCGAGGGCAAGTTTGCAAGGGGGCAGGCAAGGCTGGCTGCACACACAAGCGGGGGCAGCGGGAGGGAGGATGTTCTCTCCCCAGGGCGTGTGCGAAGGATCTGGCACGGGCCTGCGTGTGCCTCAGTGTGCCTCAGAGTGCAGCTGCGAGCTTGCACGGGGCGTGCGTGAGTGCAGGGGCACGGGGGAGCTTGCCCTAAAGGCACACGCTTGTATGCAGGTGCAAGGCGTGCCAGTGTGAGTTTGCACACACGTGCAAGTGTGCAAAGGTGAGCTTGACTGGGGAGGGAGTGTGCGTGTGCACAGGACGGAGCGTGCACTGGCATGTGCACAAGTCTCCAGGTGCGCACACAAGAGCTTGAACCCAGGATGCATAAGTGTGCGTGCACATGAACCTGTGGGGGTGCATTTGTGGGATTGTGCAAGGGGTGTGTGCTTACACAAGGAATTACAGGAGCGTGTGTGCAAATGTGAGCTTGTATGGGGAGTGGACACGCATATGTGAAGGGAAGTGTGGCTAAGTGTGTGTATATGAGCATGCACGAGGGAATGCACTAGTGTGCCCACAGGTGCAAACATGAGTTTCCCCAGAGGGGAATGCAAGGGGGCAGGTACTTGCAAGGACTGTGAACATAAGCTGGTGGGGACTGCACAAGATTGGGGAGGGATGCACCCAGAGGCGGGCTGGCACAGGCTGAGCGTGCAAGGGGAAAGGAGAGCTTGGAGGGGGCCAGGCACCGGTGCGTGCAAGGGATGGGAACACCATTGCGCACAAGGCTGGGTGTTTCACGGCGTGCAAAGAGTCGTCTGAATGGGGGCGGGCGTGGAAGGAAAGTGACTGTTAACGACATTCATGCCTCCTTCCGCCTTTCCAGGCCAAGGACAGCAGATTCTGGGCCGCGGCCGTGTTTTTTCCCATCCGCACCCCCCACCAGGCAGTAAAAATAGCAGGTGAAATTGGGACACTCACCTGGGAGCGGGGGCGGGCAGGCCTGCCTCCTCCCCCACCAAAATATTTCCTCCAAACCCGGGAGTCTTGGTTCCCTGCCCCCCTCTAACCACTAGACCCCACTGCCCTCCCAGAGCCCCGGAAAGAACCCAGGCGTCCTGTCACTCACATCTGTCTGGGGTCCTTTCCCGGCTCCAGGGCATTCGAAGGTGACAAACTCATGGCACCGCTTGTGCACCACGAAGCTGCAGACTTGGCAGGGGGGAGGAGGGGGGCAGGCAGGGGGGGAGGAAACAGAGCAATTAGCAGAGCAAGCTCAGGAAGGTGAAACCCCCAGTCCCCGCTCAGAGCCCAGCCCACGCCCAGGGGCGGTGCAAGGAAACCCGGGACCCCGGGGTCTGCCACAGAGCCTGAGACTCAGGGGTCTAGCAGCTGCTCCGCTGGGGGGCACAACCCTGGGACCCCAACGCCAGAGGGGCTGACCAGCCGGGGCAGTGGGGGATGGGGTGGGGGAGGCTCAGGGGCGAGTCGGGGGA